CCTAAACCCTAAACCCCCAGGGCCCTGCGGTCCTTTCGTAGGAAGATCTGTTTCTCGAAGCGATTGAGCAGAGGTGGCGCGAGCCGGAAGTAAGCATCGCCTTGAGCTGCAGAGTGGGCTTTAAAGGGGATTATAGGGTTCCTTAAAGGGACAATTTAGGGTTTAGGGTTTACCGGGAATGAAAGAGTGTTCCTTAAAGGGCTCCTGTCAGGGATCTAGAGGGTTCTATAAACCGTTTAGGGTTCAGGGCGTAGGATTTGGGGGTTTAGGGTTCAGGTTTTGTAGGGCTTAGGGCTTATACGGTGTGTGCGCGCGGTGGGTGCATTGGGACTAAGGGCGCGCTTGCGTCAGCATGCAGTCCCGCCCCAACCACACCAACTGTTATCAATGAGGGTTTAGAGTTCACCCCCCAACCCTCTCCTCAAGGAGGCGCTTTATTGCTTTCTGCTTCCCTTCGCAGTTCTGCATAAAACAACCACATTTCACAACAAGGCCAAGCTGAGATGGATTGAAACGCTAAACCCTAAACCGTCGGGTTGTGGGTCCTAGCAGCCTGTGCCGATTGCTGGACGCGAAGCAGGGGTTTCCTCGCGGTTTGTCAGGGTCGCTCGAAATGTAGACATCAGAACAGGCACACACAAAGCACCCTGGTACTGGCACCCGGCCCGTGAAACAGGGGAGCTTGTAGCCCCCGAAAGGCTGATAAAGAATCCAAAGATACTACGGCTGATGATATAAACCCTGCAGTACTCATAATAAGGAATATACCATAATTCCCATAGTTTCGGGTCCTCAAGGTACTGCTATAGGGTTCTATACTAGGGCCCCTTTAAAGGGGGTTTAGGGTCCTTATGGTACTGCAGGATTAATCATCGACAGTACGGCTAGTATTATATGATAAACACTAACAGCCCGCACAAAAATCTATCGGAAAGCCTGAGCTCAATGGGTTTAGGGTTTAGGGGTTTAGGATTTACGGTTTAGGGGTTTAGGGGTGTAGGGTCTAGGGCTTTAGGGGTTTAGGGTTTTAGGGTTTAGGGGTTTAGGGGTTTAGGGGTTTAGGGTTTAGGGTTTAGGGCTTAGGGGTTTAGGGTTTGAATAGGACCTGAGCCGAGGCGCTGATCTCTGTGATGACGATGACGCGGAAGAGATGATGAATAGGGCACTGCTTGGCTTTGGAGCCGTGGGCAATGCGAACCTGAGCCCAGCTGGAGCATCAGAGAGGTTCGGGCTTTGGGGGTTTTGGGTTTAGGGTTCTGAGGCGTCATGTAACCCTAAACCCTGAACCTCAATGCCCCTAAACGCTGAAGCCGAAACCCTGAAACCCAAACCCCAAAGACTTGTAACACCTAAACCCTCAACCCTAAACCCTAAACCCTAAACCCTAACACCGAGGCCCCAAAACAAAATTGGGCCGACGTGCCTGGGACTTCTTTGGAATTTGGTTTCCTTGGGACTGCGCCCTGGCGGGATCCCCAAATCTAAGTCAGACCGTTTAGGATCAGGGTTTAGGGTTTAGGGTATGGGGTTTAGGGTTTAGGGTTTAGGGTTTAGGGTATAGGGTTTAGGGTCGCGCTTGGCTTTCGGATTTTAGGGTTTGGGGTTGAGGGTGTTGGGTGTCGGGTTACGGGTGGTAGGATGGCTTAGGTATTTGGGCCTTATGCCTCGACCCGCCGGCTCCCTCAAAGCTTGAAAGTTGAAGGGTTTAGGGTTTAGGGTTTAGGGTTTAGGGTTTAGGGTTTAGGGTTTAGGGTTTAGGGTTTAAGCCAACAGCCCCAGCCGTAACATTCTCAAAACCCTAGTTCGTCAAATGATGCTCTGGGCGTTTAGGGTTCACAGAATGTAGCCTTCTCAACCCTAAGCCCTACAAGCCTGCCCCAACCTTGACACTCTCAGTTACAGTAGAATAGGGTTTTGGGGTATATTATACTATAAATCTGGTCAGGAACCCCCGAGATGGTATCGGTAATTATTCAGGCCCCTGGATTCGCCACTTCCTAGGGTCTGCGGAAGGGATCAAAACCTGATCTTTTGGGGTTTAGGCTACAGGTTTCAGAGTTGTTCTGGTTTAGGGGTTCAGGGTTTCTGGATTTGGGGTTTCTAGGTTCAGGGACCGGGTTCGGGTTTAAGATTTTGGAAGGTCTGACTAAGAGCCAGAGAAAACATCATTCACAATGGCTATATGCCTGTCATGTCCATCCGCTCTGTCTTGGAGAAGTGAAGAGGTGATCGAAGCTTTGCAAAAAAGCTGAGACCAAACCACATCTGCGCTCCCCGATTGCAAGAACTCCTGACGAAGCTGCCTCCTCATAATAGCTGCAAGCGTACAGACGAGGAGTGCAGGGTTCAGCCGCTTTTTGTGCGAAGACTTTATCTCCCTAAACCCTAAACCCCTAAACCCTAAACCCAGCTGTAAGTTCAACTGAACCCCAAAAGCCCTAAACCACAGACTGAGAGTTTCTAAGTAAGCTTCAAAAACCCCCCTGCACCCATTAAGCCACGAAGCCCACGCCTCAGTCCTTAAAGCTTGGTTAAAAGTTCTAGGGTTTAGGGGGGGTTCGGGTTCCCTAAACCCTAAGCCCTAAACCCTAAACTAACCCTAAACCCTTATACAAACCCTCAACCCTAAAACCAAAAGAAGCCGCAAGAAAGCCAGAGCTGAGGCTCTCGCGTAGCGCTGTCCTGCATACTCCATGTAGTGCTGGTTCAGCAGGTCATAGAGCGATCTCGGTACCCAGAGGGTCCATATATACTACCATTGTGGAATTAGGCCTTAAAAGACCATCCCTATTATGGTTTTGGGGACCTAATTCCATAATAGTAGTGTATATGGACCCTCTTGGGTAGTTGGAACCCTGTTAATCCCTACACCCTAAACCCTAAGCCCAAAACAAACCCTAAACCCCAAACCCAAAACCCTAAACCCTAAACCACTATCATACCCCTAACCCTACAAAACTTTGGTGGGGCGGAGGCTTTGCCGAGTTGAAGGCTTGGAGTGCGCTCTGTATTTTCGGGGTAGGGCCCGGGGCTAGCCATTTCAAGCTGTGATGTGGCTTATGCTTCGCGGCCGAGGGCGTGGATGATAGGTTGAGGGTTCAGGGTTTTGGGTTGAGGACTTTTCAATTTCTTGGATTAGGAAGGCATTGTCATGGCGTATGTTGAACAATTCTTCCCAACCACTCTTCCAAATTCTGTAGCGACTTGAGTCTGTGATGGATATTCTCCGATATCGCGCCACCATGTACAGGAGGGACAAGTTCAAAGGCGACACTGATGCCGATAATCCCAGAGAAGCCCACGGCCTGACTCCAAAACCTAAAGTAGTCTTGCTGCCGTAAGTACGGAGTCTCAGGAGCAGAACTCAAGCATTCATAATTTCGGGTCGGCGGGGCTAAGACCTCAAATCACCCTCGGAGTTTGGGGTTGGGGACCCTAAACCCTAAACCCTAAACCGTGCATCATCAGGTCTTCCCCCTAAACCGCCCCACCGAGCTGAGCTTCAGCGAGCTCGTCTTCCCTAAACCCCCAAAGCGTGGAAAACAACGAGCTTGTTCGCGCTTCATCGTCAGACACCACCCATCAAAAGGGTTAAGGAATTTAGGGTTTTAGGGTTTAGGGTTGTGCCTGCTGAAATGGTTGAATAACAGAGGTGAAGGCACGGTTCAGGCTCTGGGAAAGGTTAAAGGTTGTACGGATTCGGATCCAAAAAAGGATCTAGAAGGGCTCGATGAACGGGATCTATAGGGGGTTCTATACGGGTTTCATGTTAAGTGAGGCTTGGGGCGCAGTGTAGGCTTTTGCATTCATCGGGTTTGACTTCCTGCTCTTTGAATCGGACATTCCCTGGGAAATGCTGGGGTCGAAACTCGTACAGCGAATCGCAGTGCACCATGACCAGAGAAATCGGCTGCTGCATGAAGCTCTTGATACCTGCCCGGCTGGCTCCAGAATGGTGGTGGCTCTCACAGTGGTGAATACGGCGATTGTGGGGTGATAGTAGTGGCAAAAATTTCATGTAAGTCAGGGTGATGCTTTCTACTGAACCCCAAACCCTAACCCCTTGAACCCCGAACCCTAAACCCTAAACCCCTAAATCCCAAAGCCCTAATCCCCCAAACCCTGACCCCTTCTCTTTGCCAAAGGAGTTGCTACAAGTACTAAAAATGCAGTGCTAGACACACGGCTCGTCGCTGCCAGCTATCGATTACAGTAGGGTTTCGGTGTTGATCATGCAGTATACTTCTATTCGGGAACATGAGGGCCTACATGGGAATAGTACAGTAGTGCAAATCATTCCGAGCCCTACAAAGAGCCCTGAACCCCGATTTTCGTTCAGAGTTCGGTTGGAGGCCGACGACAAATAAAGTTTGGCGTATTGGGTTTAATTATGGAAGTACCACGGCTCGGGACTGTGTGTTGCTACTTGTGGTGCCGGCTATTGCTTCCATGTTTCCTTCAAGACTCGGCCCAGAACATTGAACCTGAACCCCTCTGAAGCGTTGCGGTCTGTGGGATGGGTCGAAGGTGTCGCCTTGCTGCAAAACTCGAGCATCCGGGATTGAAATTTCGTGCTCAGCATCGAGAGCTTTGAACTATGCTTCAAAGACTTAATGGCTTACACTGGTTGTGTCTTGCTCGGTGGCTGTGAAATAGCAACTTGTTGCCCAAACTGCGCTGTTCTAGCGAAAGTCTACACTAAATGTCGAAGAGCCATGAAGCACTGGTTTAAGGGTCCAAGTACCTAATAATCATATACTTTCCCAAGTACTAACCTACATAACTACTATCCGAAACCTAAGTACCCGATTACTGGGTCCTTTGGACACCCTAAACCCTAAACCCTAAACCCTAAACCCTAAACCTTAGGGCTGTTGCACATGAAGGCAGAGTTTCGCAGCGTGGAAGTTTTCATCCTGCTGCCCTGAACATCTTCCTCGGCCACTGAACCCACAAGCATCACACCGTACCTCGATTCCTAAGGAACACACCAAGCTTGCACTTGGGTTTAGAAGTTTAGGGGTTTAGGGTTTAGGCTTCTTTATTCCCTTTTACTACCTGTATTCTTGCCGGGCACGCTGAAGGTTCATTGCCACGAACATGTCGCTCAGGTCATTCGGGAAGGTGCTGCCAAACATGACCTGCAATCTCTTGCGAGTTCAGTTCTCGATTCCCAATAATATGACCAGAGAAAACCAGTAAAACAACACCATCCCAAGACTAGAGTAGAATGACTCATGTTGGGCTTTCTGGTAAAGGGCCATACATCTTAGATCCCGACAAACAGCATGTAATTAGCCACCATGATCCCAGCAAATTCATATTTCGAGACTCTCAGACCGCATCTTTAGATACATGTACAGCACTCATATTGTGTAACAGACTGCCAATCATAATAAAAGAGGGTGCGTCCAACATCCTAGCCTATAGTATGGAAACAAAGAAAGCTCCAAAACGCAGGCCCGTATTTCGACGCGTTCTGTAATACAAATAATGATGATTGCATTCATGCCAACAACTGTAACAAGAACAATGATCACAGTAAATGCAATATGCTGGTCATACAGTATATAGTCCACAGGAACTTGGTCTCATCAGGTCAAAATGGTTTAACCGCTTCTGACGATCTGGCTCCAGATCGAGAAACGCGGATGCTGGTGCTCGGGTTTGAGGTGGAGGATCTTGCTGTGAAAGGGATCCAGGTGCAGGTGAGCCCTAGGGCGGATGCCATGCCAATCCTACTACTTTGCGATGGCCTTGCGTGTGCATTGTCCGAGCAGACTGCGAACTGCGCTATGACCAAACTCCAGAATCAGCCTCTAACCCAAATACATCTGCTTAGGGTTCTGCTCCCGTCCAGCATGCAACAAAGACCGTGGAAATTAACCCCGAGACCACCCTGTTTGGTAAACCCTGGCCCTACACCCGACACCCTAGACCCTACAGCTTAAACCCTAAACCCTAAGCCCCACACCCTAAACCCTGAACCTGGACCCTAAAAACCCTAAACCCCAAACCCTAAGCCCATCAAAGGGCTCGGCTCGGATCCTGACTACACGACCTTTCTCTGTCATGCACTCAATCAATTCTGCAGGTCGCTCTGGGGTTTCGGGTTTGGGTTTAGGGTTTTGGGGATAGGGGATCGGGTTTAGGGTTTAGGGTTTAGGGTTTAGGGTTTTGGGGATAGGGAATCGGGTTTAGGGTTTAGGGTGTAGGGCGGTTGAGGATGAACTTTGCCAACACGCCCAGCACTACAGCCATCACGTGCTGTGAGCTGCTTCTTGCCAGCACATTGCGTAGGCTTTCCCTTAGCTTAGCGATCTTGATGTTCAAAGTCGAAGCATCCGCCATCAAGCGAATAAACATGACTGGGACAGATCCACAGACCTGCAAGTCGGATCAAGCAGACGGAGAAAACGCAGAATGCTAACCCCCAGGCTGCGAAGCTAAATAACGTATGCGGGTCAGTCAAGTACGAGCCTGTACTGGTTTGCCACGATTTAACCAAAGTCTGCAACTGCAAGTGTAGCGACCTGCCCACAACAAAGGTGCTGCTGGCCACTGACACAACATTCACGGCGAATGTACTACCTGAGCATGACTCGTACGTCAGGGCGATGACGGAAACTTGAAACCAAAGACTCGGCAGAGACTCTGAAAGTACCTTCGGAATGAAGGACCAAAACCGATCAACAACAGGATACAAATCGCCGTCTGTATCAAGATCCAGCTCCGCATGGACCAACTTCTCAAAGACTCCAAGCAGGACCAGCAATCCACCGAGGTCGGTGACATGCTTCCATTGATACCATAGCTTGTACCTGCACTCTGCGCACGTCTCTGCACCTTGCCTGAACTTGTCGAAAAGCCTTTCTGCAGTCACATACTGATCCTTCCGGAATAAAAACCAGAGCTGACAAAGCATCGAGAAAAGAAGTATGGACAACAAAACACCTGGCAATCCCAGCCAAGCAACCAGCCAACCTAGCAACGGAATGTAGTTCCAAGATGACTCAAACTTGACACAGAGATCATCGGTGTACAGGTTGAATGCGTTCGCGGCAGCCCACGCATCCAGAGCAGGATCTATAGCTTCGATCATGCCAAGAAAGAGGGCAAATGCGCCTGACAGGAAACCACATATACTGCATGTACTCCCAAAGTCGGCCAGAGCGTCGATGGAGTGCTGCCACGTGGCCCTACATGGCTGCCGCTTAAGCCACGAAACCAGCGTGCCCACCAGCCAATACTGGAAGACCATGGAACCAAGAAGCATGAAACCCACAGTCATGGCAGCGGCAGAGCCGCGACCACTGTAAGCACACAGAAAAACCAGAGGCGCACACGCAAACTGCACCAAGGAAACCGCGATACAACGCATGTACGCCGGCCATAGATCGTCGTCCCTGGCATATTCAACCGGTCGCAACAAGTTTTCCCATTCGCAAAGGTGACTTGTGTCTGCCCCATCAGAGTCTTCATCAGACCTTCTGCTCACAGTTGCACGGGCCATGGCAAGATGATCCCAAATGCATTGGGGGGAGGGGCTGATATGCATTAGTGCATGGCCTGCTTGAAGTCCCTAATGCCTAAACCCTTAAACCGTTAAACCCTAAACCCCTAAACCCTAAACCCCTAAACCCTAAACCCCTAAACCCTAAACCCTAAACCCGCAATCCTTCAACCCTACACCAGCAGTCGGAACTCCCTGCTTACGTCATCCTTCACTGCTTGTGTCGCAATGTAGGAACCTGATTAAGAAATCCCGGGTCTTCATTAGGAGTCTCTATATGAGGGTTTAGGGTTTAGGGTTTAGGGTGAGTCCTAATATTTTGGGGTTATAGGGCCAGGGTTTCTTAATCAGGCTCCTACATTACATCAGATAGCCAGAAGCCCAAGCTCGTAGCAACAGTAGCGAAGAACGGGGAGCTAAAGGGCTTGAGGGTGTGGGGGTTTAGGGTTTAGGGTTTAAGGGTTTAGGGTTTAGGGGTTTAGGGTTTAGGGTTTAGGGGTTTAGGGGTTTAGAGGTTTAGGGGGTTTAGGGGTTTAGGGCTTAGGGTTAAGGCGGTTAAGGTTTCAGGTTTCAGGGTTCAGGGCTTTTCTGACTTTGGGCTTGGGGTTTAGGCTTCAGGGCTTTCGCGGCTCATTTTGGTGGTTTCAGGGTGAGGTCATGGTGAAAAGCTTATGCAGCTTGTCCGGCTTGAAACGCTGAGAGCCAAAAATCGGAATCATGGGAGCCACGCAGGGCTTCGAGATGCAACTCTTCAGTCCAGACCGTGCGGTCCAGGACATGGGGGTAACGGTTTAGGGTTTAGGGTTGAGGGAAGAGCCCCTGACCCAAACAAAGCCTAACAACTCTAAACCCTAAACCCCAAAAGCTTCAACAACTCTGATGCCCGGAGGGCGAAAGGCAGCAGTATTGTAGTCCCTGGCTCCCCCATTACCCCGCCGCTGTACCGGCACCCATTTCCGAATCTTCATCTTGAATAAAGAACACCCAGAAAACCCTAAACCCTAATCCAAATAAACATCTAGAAACCGCAGGACCTTCAGAAAAATCCTCAGGCTTCCACTTAAACCCTTGAAACCAGATTGGCGTGTAAACGTCTCAGTGATTCAAAGGTGCTTCTATATCAGCCCAGGGTAAAGGGTGCATAACGTAGGGCCCCCTGGGGGGGTCTAGGCGTGTAAAGGACTAGAAGAGGGGTTGCAGCATAATAGTGATAACAGGAGAAGAGGGCATTGAGAGCTTGCAACAGGATCGAGAAAACTGCATAATAGTGTGGTATTCTTGTGCACCATACAGGCGTTTGACAGCCTTTCAAACCTGATTCAGAGCACATGCAGGGCCTGTGAGGTTCAGAAAAGTAAGGGATCCTGTCTGCAATTTAAATTTTAGGGTTCAGGGCTTTAGGGTTTAGGGTCCATATGTACTACTATTATGGAATTAGGGCCCCCAAAACCATTTCTAGGATGGCGTTGGGGCCTGATTTCATGGACCCTCTGGGTAGCAGCAGGGGCCACATGGCCAAAGTCCAAAAGCCCCCTAAACCCTAAACCCTAAACCCTAAACCCTAAACCGCGTTAACCAGAAGCCCCTCGTTGGAAGAAGCCTCCAAATCGTCCTCAACCCTAAACCGGGGCGTTGAAAGGGAGAAAGCAAAAGCGGATCCTTCATGTACGTGAAAAACGGCCCTCCGAGATTCATCAAGAAAACCCTAAACAGAAAAAAACCTTAAACACAGTCCGCCAAACCCCTTCCCTAAATCACCCTTTCAGGCATTCAAAGCCGCCTCGGCCTTGCTGTGGTTCAAGAGCCTCGTTGTGACGGGCTTTGCAAGAATTGTTCAAGGCTCCGGAGTTTTTTCAGGGTATAGGGTTTAGGGTTTAGGGTTTAGCGGGGTTGGGTCTGTCGCTCATCTTATGGGTTTTGGAACTTGCGACTTGTGTCTGAAGTCTCCAGCATGGCCCCTAAACCCTGAACCCTAAATACATCTTGTGGGCTCATGCGGCATGAGGCACGTGAAGGCAAAAGGTTGGGAGCTCAGGCTGTGATGGTGGGAGCTGCTCTCTGCGCCTCCTCTCGCCGTTGCTGTTGCTGCGGCGGCCGATTGCTATGATGGCGCGCAAGCGCAAAGCCCCAGCAGTAGCAACAAGAATCATTCAGTTAGACGCAAGAATTAAGCTTGCAAACCCTAAACCCAAAACCTCAAAAACCCTGAACCCAGTGTCCGAAGAGCGCTCCAAAGGAGCCTCCGGGAGCCTGAACGAAACTCCGTCAAAGGCCAAACTACCCAATACCCCAATAAACCTAAACCCGGTTGAGGGTTTAGGGTTTAGGGTTATACCCTAAACCATAAACCCGATATGCCCTAAACCTAAATCCTAAACCCTAAACCCATAACCCTCAAGTTTGGGCATCGTATCTGAGCGTCAGGTCCAGGTCCAACCTTATAACTGATGACATCCTAAACTCGGGAGGGTCTAGAAAGCAATGGGGTTTTGGGGCAAGTGATGCAGCAATTTCAATAAGGAGCCCCCAAAATGTTTTTTCATGATATAAACCCAGCATTACCTTAAGGATCCAAACTATGGGAATTATGGTGTACTGTGGGAGCCTATACTACTGCAGGGTACTTTGCAGGAACCCCGGTCAACAGATCTACTTGTTGGATCCTCCTGGGTGTCTGGGAAAGCCTGAAAACTAGAACCTAAACCTTGAAACCATAAACCCCTAATACAGGGGCCTTAAAATTAGAATAAGGTTTTGGGGCCCAGTATACTGCAATCATGATAAGGAATCCCTAAAATACTGTTGATGATATAAATCCTGCAGTACCTTCAGGACCCCACACTATGGGAAGTATGGTATATTGCTGATTGTGGGTAATGCAGGATTATTTATATCATCAGCCGTAGTATTTGTATTTATTTAGGCCCCTACATGAAACCATGCGACCCCCAGATCCTGCAACGCTAAACCCAAGAGTCCTAGACCCCAAACACTATATAGTAAGCCCACAATCCTCGGACCCTACGCCCGACGTTGAAAAAATGGAAAGCTCAATCCTAAAACCCTAAACCCTGAACCCAGTGAAAGACCCTAAACCCCCAACGCCTAAAACCTAAACCCCTAAACCC